TTAACAGATGTTTATTTCCCCAATTCATTAGCATCCAAACACCTTGCCTGCTGACCAACATATCGCTTTTCTCACTAATTTTTAACATTATTCCAACTCTTTTTTCCCTTTCTTGTTTTTCCGGCTAACTGTCCTTCCTATTTCCAAACTGCCTATTAACTGATACATTTCTTACAGTTTAACCATTAGTTTACTTAAACTCAGTTTGGAATGCTACGTGAATATTTTGTCTTTCGTAAGGAAGGAAATGTTGTCTAGATTGCTTGTAACGTGGCGCTAGTATGGAAAGTGAATTCCGAAAAGGTATACAAAAAATCGGGAGTAGACTAGAGACCATTATTTACAATCAACCATTAAACGTAAGAGAGCCCTAACATCAAAAAAGGAGGGAGGGTGGTGTATCTGACCACCATTCATGACGGTGGGGCGATAACCTCAATCTACCCATGTCTGTGTGGCAGAACACTTTGTTTACTTACGGCTCCTTACGATATAGCAGGATGTAACTAATCAGTGGTATTGATGTTACTTTTCCTTGTTAACTTCGTCTAGGACTCATGTCCGTAACCTTGAACTGGTTTTAACTTCCTACCAATAAATCCTATTACCAGCAGATCTGGACAACTATACTAAAAAAGAGCTCATTCATACAATGCCAAAGGTCCCGGGTTCGAATCCTGCGAGGAGCAGGAGTCGTGGATGCGCACTGCTGAGGAGTCCCATACTAGGACGAAACGGCCGTCCAGTGCTTCCAGGTTTCTAATGGTGGTCTAACAATGATGATTGATTAATGATTTCAAATGTGTAAAAATATGATACAATCGTCCAACAATTAGGAATACCAGCTGTTTTCATTTATTTTGGCGTTTCTTATAACTGGTATGCAGGTAGTTACTATAACGAGTTTTAGAAAAATTTCATTCCGTAGTATAAGTATCGTTGGATAAGTATTTTTGTTGTTGTATTAGGGCAATGAGTTCAAGGTGTTGACAGATGAAACATGCTGAGCATTGTACTCCTCAGTTCATTTATTTGCATAAATTTGACAAAACCATTGCTATTATATCTAGTTCGAAGTTGTATTAAACATAGCTGTTACTGGTGTCTGTACAGTTTTTCGACGAAAAGGAATATTCTCCTAATTGACTAGTCAATGTAGCATATATTTGTTTATTTAACCTGTCTTTCTGATATAAATAAAATGATAATCTAAATTAGATATTTTGTCTAGTCAGATAGCTCATAGGGAGAAGTGCACTTTTAGCTTATCTGATGTCTTGGATTCGTGTAGAATTCCGAAAGCATACATTCTGTATTGGGATACTGTAGGTTGACATAATATGGCCTCATTTGGCGAATTTTGATTGGCTCACAATACTGGAAATTACAGTAGAATAATGATTTTGTTATGATAAGTAATTGTTTACATGTTGAATTATCCATTATCGCAAAGTAAAAAAAAATTAAGTTTACGTATATGAAGTTGGACTAAGCCGTATTGTTTTAGTCCCCAGACAGCATCAGCTATGATACGAAAAGATAAGGATTAGGTGTTTAGTCCGTTATCGACCCAAATAACAGAGAAACTGAATTTCAGTTCTGGTATCGAAATCTTATTAGTAAAGTAAAACTGATCGACCAAAATAGATTACGCTAATAATTATTGTCATAAAAGTGGTGCATTAGACTTTCAGTTTTTAGAATAAAATGCAAAATACCTAAATACTTAGATCGACATTAACAACAACCAAATCGAAAGTTTGAATAAGGCAAACATCCGAAAACGAGCAAAATAATGGTATTCATAATAATAGTTTATGGACTATTAAGTAATTTGAGTTCCTTCCGTCACTTTGGGTATTGCGGGTTAAACTAAAGCTAATTATTAGGATTATTTACTATGAACTGAAATTATCTACGGTGCAGCGACACTGTCATTCTTTTGTTTACAAACTTGTAAACTTTGGAGTTGAGATTTAGAGTCAATAGTTGGAGTATGGGGACATTAGTTAGCCAAACAAACACCCTTGACTATGCACTGGTCACTGTCAAGTACTTTAACGCACAGTTTGCATCAGGAGCAGGTATTTCTGGTGATTTAGGTCAAGAAGTTTCATTCTTCGGTTTGATAGCGAATATCCTTATCTACTTTAGGCACTAAATATTATCAATTTTTTCTTCTTTAATCACAAAGTACAGGCTATATAGCAGTACAATTAGTTCGGCACAAAAATATACGTGACATTATCTTCATTTTGACTGGTTCACTCAGAGCTGTCAGTCTAATTATACTTCTTTCATTCTGGAGTGACTAGTGCGAGCTTTCTAATGTACCCTCACTACCAAGGACCGAACGCCATGGTGTCATCAAAGGTCAAACTACTGTCCTGCTTATTTCCTATTTGTCCGTTTCTACTATCCAAATCGAAATAGAGGAGTTGGTAGTCATGTTTGCCCCTTAGTATATGGAAGGTGAAGGCCTGAACCACCTCTCAAGTAACAGCAGCGGATGTTTGCTTACTTAACCTTTTGACAGCCCCTTCATTTACATACTTTCTTGATGTAACTTGTCGCTTGACTTTTAAATGTGGAGTTGTTCTTCGTGATCTCTTCATCTGTACATTCTGTTGATCTTTTGGTGATAGATCAGACAGTTGCGAAGCACAGGGATTATACATAGGTAATAAACAAGTTATTCGGTAATTGCACAAATAGACTATATACAACAATATTCCATAAAATGGGTTCCTAAGTTACTAGTTAATTTAGTATTCGTCCGGATATAACAGTAATCACTTAGACAGTAATTGAATGAATCATGAATGTAAGTGGTCAGCCAAATTCAGGAGACACGTTAGGAAATAATACAAACGGTCGTATTGAAGGTTATCATAAACAGGTTAGGTGTCGGCTGCGTGAAGAAGATCCCTTATCCAAGTGATTATGGATGGTGTTCGTGTTGACACTGTACAGTAAAACAGTAATTGTTATACACGTTCAATGATAAGTATTTGTACGTCAGCAGTTATGTTTTCTGCATAAAATAGTTCCACTACAACACCATCGACGCTTATATATGTGTACTATCTCTTACAGATAGAGTGCGATCATCCATACTTTATACAATTGGAAACATTTTCATCAGCAGCTGTACTATACAAATATTGATTTTAGATTTACAATGTTTGAGTTCCAGAACATTGTATAATTATACAATCCATTTCAGTGTCATTTAATTACATGATATGGGGGGGTTCGATGTATTGAAGTGTGTCTGACACGACTTGTATACTTTTAGACAGACTTGGAACTTACGAGCGATCACTGAAACATAAGTGAATATATTTGTTTGCGTTTCAGTAAGCATCTTTCTAAATAATATATGTAGCGAAAGATCTTACCAATCATTTGTTGGTGGGTTGTTTACTTTCATGCTATTCCTTTATAAATAAATAAACCTGTAGTACAAACAAATTGTTGCCATCGTTTATTTATAAAGAACATACGAGCTGTAAATCTATTTTCCGGGGAACGAATTGCTGTTTGACAACTGTCGTAATCAGCAAATAAATGTCCACGATTACGATTTTCCAGGAATATAATACGAACTTACTACTACTGGAGACTTGGTCCCTGTCCATTGTTAGCGATCGCGTATTCGCTCATACTACTGCCTGAAGAGTCATGAAGAATGGACTGTCATAGTTACAGGAACTCAACCGTGGAATGTACCTAGCAGATATTACTAGTTTCAAATGAAGTGAAATCAGCTGTAGATCACACTGTGTCCATACAAATGTAGTACTACTTAAGCGACACTACTTTTGCAAAGTTTGTCTATGGATTTGGTATTTACGTATCTAATCACATTTCAGACTATGCACTGGCGAAGGGGTATGGATATAAATGATTGTGAAATAGAGAGCTAAAACCTGCACTTAAATCAACAATCAAGATCCTGAGGAATAACAAAAACGTTGTAACCATCATTTCAGATCTCCTTGCCTCTAACTGACAAACAGCTGAAGACAACTTTCATACTTCATTTTAATGTGACTTAGTAATTAAGTACAGATTAGAGTTACATGTTTTGCGTCAGAGTTCTACGTAAAGGGTAGTATTACAAGTTAGGTATTTTAAGCTGAAGCATGGTTCAAAACGTTCTTATTATAAAAAACTTAAAATTCACATGACAGGAAAATACTAGCCAATGTACGGTAGTTTTCCTCCATGATCACTATATTTACATATACTGACGTGGTTCTCGGACATCAATAGCTGTATAGAAATTCTGAAAACCAAAGTTTACATGTAACAGACAAACCGAAAATAAAAGCCAGAGTGCTTATTAAATTGTAGTCTTTTACTGAATAATTAGTTTTAGACAAACGAGTTGATTCGGTGGGATGGAGACGATTTACTCACACTAGCTATGCATACGGTACTCATTTTGAAGTGATTTAACGTAAGAAATATCGCTCTCACACCAGGTATTTCTACAGTGTGATAATAACACTGGTGAACGAGTTCAGAATACGGCTGCATTAAATATTCGAATGTTTCGCTGCGCACACATTGGATAACGTTATATCAGATACTAAATTCACGACCGAAATAGCAACAGCAAGGCTAGGCAGTTTTATTTCACACTTCAAGAAGTCTAAGTAGGGTAAGTCCGGAGTAAAAACCACATATTTGATAGTCAGGTGGCTGCTTTCATTTGTCCCACATTCCGTGGCAAATAACATTTTGTTTTCACTACCACATATCAAGAACTAAGCTAGAATTAGTATTTAAGGTTCGTACTCCAGCTGGCATAGTTTCAGACTGAAAAACTAAATGCTAATACCTCGACATATTGATATATTATTCAAACTTATACCCCTAGAATCAGACCAGCGAGATATAACCAAACCTATCAGGAGAGAGGAAATGTTTGCATGACCTATCTGTTGATGGTATGCAGTTATTCTGACAAAAACAGGATAGTTTATAAGAACCACGATATTATTCGGAAACTCCCATAGACTAAAAATTAATAAAACTCGTTAAAATAGGCGGGAATGTTATTATACATAGATGTAACGAAATATTTACAAACAGCCATTATAAGAGATCTATATTTTAGAGATTATTCAATCTCATTAGATTCATGATCTTTTATCTGTGTATCATTTTCTACTTGCTCATCTGAGTAATCACTGTCTTTACCGGATTCGGATCTTGACTTCGATTTTAGTTTTCTTTTGTTTAATCGTTTTGCTTTCTTCAATTGACGCTTAGCTCGCTTTTTAGCAGTTTTTTCAGCTGCTAAATCACTCAACGCTTGTTGTTTCATTTGAAACTCTTTATCTAAACGTTCCTGAAGAAATCAAATGCTGCTAGACAATAAAATCCCACCTCTTCCGCGGTTTTTTCAATCATTTCTAGACGAGTATACTCTCTTCGTCTAATACCTCTATATATGTGGAAGTCTCCACTGCCCACTCCAGCGGCAGAGCCTAAAATTTGGTCGAGTTGAAAACAGCAACAGTACCCCAAACGTTTCGAACGAACTCAGGTGGTGGTTTAGGAAGTTGAGGTTGAGATAATTCAGGAGTTACAATTGCTTCTTCCTTTGAATGGATTAAATGTACAAACGTATTGAGAAACTTACTGGATGTGCAAAATATCTTTCAATATCACGCCGCACGAAGTCGTACGTACCCATTTTACGATACTCATTACGCTTAATTTCTTCACCAGTTTCTGGATTGACGTCTTTATGAGTGTTATTCAGATTCATATGTATGAAACAAACCAACGTTTGTCTAGGTATGAAAAAATATAAAACATATCACAAACTATAAACATTTACAGTATTGGCGCATTCGAAAAGAAAGCTAAAACTATACCATTATTTATACATGTTTCAGTCATTTTACGAGACGTAGTTTTCTGGACAAGGCTTCCAATGATCAATGGGTAACTACAAGTTTTAGGTTTCATTAACTGGCATGAGTTGAAGTAAGTGTAAAACATTGATGTTATCAGAGTAGATTATGAGACCTTTGGGCGGTAACTTTACAAACATACGAACTATTCTGTGGTGCGGCTAAATAATAGCTTATAAAAAGATATATTTGATTTGGGAATATAACAAGTGAGATAATTTTAAAATACTTTGAGATATCCAGTCAGTCTACCTGAGCATACCACTTTAGATAAAATGAGTAAAGACCCTAACGCGAAATACGATACAGAGTAACAGTTTGTGTACATAAATCCAGGACGGCTTCGTAATAAGATTGAGTAGAACTGTCTGTGGTCATTAAAAATTAAAATTGAATGTACGCTTCTGATCACAGATAAAAACTGTACGTTATTGAAAGTTTGTGAAGTATCCATGTGAGACTACCATTCAACTGTAGTCATACTCAGGCAAACAAACAACAGGTCTTACTCCTAGCTGTTCATATTCCTAAAATCGTATGATTACATTGAAACGGATGTATGTTGTTCACACTATCATAAACGTAATATTTAACTTGACATGAATGATATGCAATATAGTTCTCCCAGCTGTAAATTGACGTCAAAAAGTCCAACTTAGTGCAGTGACCTCTTTGTGGATCTATCACACTAAATGTGATAAGCTATAAAAATTCATGTGCATTATTACCCCAAGCTATCGATTCTGGGTTTATTTTGGGAAAAACTCCAGACACGTGAGTAAATGTTGGGTTGTTATGTTTCATTTGTCCGAAATTTTCAATGGGACTGTCCCAAAGTTTATCAGTATTTTCAAGTTGGAAGCTTGAGACGTTGACAGAAAAGCTTATGACAAGTTATATGAACATCCAGAGATTAAGATTGGCAATCGCATATATTATTCATTAAATTTGAGAAAATTTAAACGAAATTTTCAGGAGGAACTACTGTTGGATTCTGAGATGATTAAAGCGAAAAACTTTATAATTTTTGAGTTCGTCTTTAAATTCCTAAATTTGGTTTTAATTCCATTGGATAGTATCCTAATCGACCAAATAGTAAAATTTAGTAACTAATCTTCGAACCCGCCGGTAACAGTAGATATTCAGTTTACTAGCATTCGATCATAGATGTTTAAGAAGCATTGCTCGAGTATCGTGAGACAACCGAGTGAGCAATGCTGCCATTAGGAAACGAGTACTAAGTAAGGATGGCAGATCAACAGAGGAATTATTGAAACTTCATCAATTGAGGTGGTTGGGACATATGTTACGTAGCACGACCACCGACTATGGTGTAAGAGTAGGTTGGAAGAAAGTTAGGGGCGGCCAGAACACGTGACGGAAATGCACGAAGTCATTGACAACTGGAAAGAGTCATGTTGGCAGATGTAGGCTAACTGGTTGGGGTCCGCGAGACGATAGTAACCGATGGTTAGAGACCTTGAATGACATGGCTCAAAATCGTTTGCAATGGTGCAGGTACATCCACTCTTTGTGTTCTCTCAAATCCTAATCTTCTGGATTCTTCAACACCTCAAGTTTTTACTTTCTAAACTTATCTCATTGAATCATACTTCGTGAATAATATCTTCTAATTCTAACCTCTCCGATTACTTCTGATTCCCTTACTACCTCTTCTACTATTGGATTTGAATTGACAATTATATCTCTGTGCTGATGTGGTATGGCGACATGAACTGATGTTCTTACGTACGAAGTTCTACGTTGCAACTGACTGACTGACTGACTGAGAGAAAGTTACACTATAACGATGAACTAAACAACCCTGTACAGTGTTTCAATAGCTTACTTGGACAAAGTCTCATTAAATCACACAACGCTGATTATTTAAGATTTAGTATTATGAAGGTATTTTTCCTTTAGGAGCTTATGCACTGCATAGAACAGTTAAAAAGAATGAGGATTTTCGTATACTATTTTTGTCAAATTCGTTGAAGAGGGTGATACATTTTGATCAAACCTTGCGATGGTAAAGTTGAAGCATATTTTCTACCAGTTTGACAGTGGGAATTCCTATTTAGTCTTCGAGGGTCTGACTGGGCCGCATTTAGACCATGAAAATGAAGTGCTTCTTCCCTCAAAAACAATGATATAATGGGACAGTCAGTCAGATGCAACGTAGAACCTTGTACATAAATACATCAGTTCATGTTGCCATACCACATCAGCACAGAGAAGTAATCGTCAATTCAAATCCAATAGTAGAAGAGGTAGTAAAGATATTAGAAGTAATCGGAGAGGTTAGAATTAGAAGATATTATTCACGAAGTATGATTCAGTGAGATAAGTTTAGAAAGTAAAAACTAGAGTTTTTGAAGATTCCAGAAGATTAGGATTTGAGAGAACACAAAGAATAAATGCACTGGCGCCATTGCGAACGATTTTGAGCCATGTCATTCAAGGTCTCTAACCATCGACTATTATCATCTCGCGGACCCCAACCAGGTAGTCGACAATTACCGACATGGCTAAGTCCACTCGTCAATGACTTCATGGATTTATGCCATGTTTTGGTCTGGCCGCCCCTAACTTTCTTCCAAACTAGTCCTACACTACAAAACAAAGCTCGACGAGGCAGTCGGTGGTTAGGCATACGCAAGACATGTCCCAACCACCTCAACTGATGAAGTTTCACCACTTCATCGATTGATCTGCCATTCTCACCTAGTACCCGTTTCCTAATAACGGCGTTGCTCACTCGGTTGTCCCACGGTATTCGAGCAATGCTTCGAAGACACCTATGATCGAAAACCAGTAACCTAAGAATATCTTCTACTCTAACTGGCCATGTTTCACAGCCATAAAGTAAGACGGAGCGAACCACTGCGCAGTACACTCGTCCTTTAGTCAGCAAACGGATATCTCGCCTACGCCATAAGTGACGCAGGTTGGCAAAAGTCAATCGAGCCTTCTGTATCCGTGCCGAGATTTCGTCAGTCATCAGGCCATCAGCACTGATGAGACTCCCAAGATCAGTGAAGCGGTCTACACGTTCGACCACTTCACTCCCCATCACTAGTTCAGGTGCCGATGAAACCCAATCTTGAAGCAACATTTTGCATTTCAAGGGGGAACACCGCATCCTGAACATGCTAGCATTGTTGCTTAGGGTATTCAGAAGACTCTGCATTTTGTCAGCGTCTTCACCAAGTAGGACTATGTCATCGGCATATTCTAAGTCAATAAGCGAGCTAGCAGGTAAAAGGTCTACTCCAGAAAATTCAGACGAGGATAAGGTTATTTCTAGGAGCATGTCTATGATAAAATTAAACAAGAATGGAGAAAGTGGACATCCCTGACGGACACCACTTGAAGTAGAGAATTCCGGTGACAGTTCGCCATAAGCTCTCACCCGACCAGTGGTGTTTGAGTAGAGAGCTTGTATGAGGTTGATGTACTTCTTTGGTACACTTTTCAATGACAGACACTGCCACAGAACCTCACGATCCACTGAGTCAAATGCCGCCTTAAGGTCCAGGAAAACAACTATTGTAGGACGCCTAAATGTGTGTCTGTGTTCCAGGACCTGTCGTAGTGTGAAAATGTGGTCTATACAGCCACGTCCAGGTCGAAAACCAGCCTGGTTTTCTCGAGTCTGCTCTTCACGAGCTTTCGTTAAGCGTCGAAGTATTACTGAGGCCAATATTTTAGATACTATATTAGTTAGACTTATTCCTCTGTGATTGTCACAAGAGGACTTCTGTCCTTTCTTATAGATTGGGACAATCAATGATTGAGACCAGTCGGATGGGATTACGTCCAGTTCCCAGATTCTACCTAAGATCTCAGTCAATCTAGCTGCTAAAACTGGACCACCATCCTTAAATATCTCAGGGGTCAGTCTATCAGGACCTGCAGCTCGTCCTCGTTTCAGATTTCCTAACGCTTTTTCAACTTCATTAAGACTAGGCGGACTTACGTCGATTCCTTACTTATAGTTTGAAAGATTGAGGGTACCCAAGGATAAGTCAAACTTCCTTACTTATAGTTTGACTTATCCTTGGGTACCCTCAATCTGTAAGGTGTTACGAACAAAAGCGTTGTCAGACAGAATATCTATGAAGTTCTCATCGTCCATAGATTACTTGTGTCGCCGATCTAGGAATCCGGAAATCTTTGAAGGTTATCTATGAATTGCCTGTAATCTAGTGAGTGAAAATGCGGTGAGATCCACGATTTCATTCTAGCCTTATGGTCAACCTTACTAGCAGATATCACTGCTGTTTCCACAGCCTCCTTGATATCATACCAACCTGCTTCTGGATGGGAATCGCTTACACGGTTGCTTAAATCTCTTTCTAGTTGCTCCTGAAATATTTTCTTAGTTTGATTATCATTAAGTAAAACCCTAAGAGGCTTTCTTACGGTGTCTTTCCTACGTCCAGTAAGCCTCAAACAAATACGAGCTCGCACTAGAGCATGATCTGAATCCAAACATGTGCCCCAGAACGAGCGACAGTCTTCTATCGAACCCCTCCATCGGTGGCTGATGGCGATGTGATCTAGTTGAGTCCAACGTTGAGACGACTTCGGGGGTCGCCAGGTCAACAGATGCTTTTCCTTATGCCTAAAGTTAGTGTTCGCTTAGAATAGGCGGTTATCTGAGCATAGTTGCAACAGACGGTCGCCATTGTCTGTTCTCTGAGCCGCGACACCATAACATCCACCTAGATGTCTTTCCTTTTCACCTAGTCTACCTACTTGAGCATTGAAGTCACCAGCCATTATTACTATATCAGAGCGCCTAGCTTTTTGGAGGTCCGAAAGCTTTCTGTAAAACTCATCTTTAACCTCGTCTGCACTGCAGTCAGTGGGGG